CATTTCATATAGCAGTTACAATCCATGTATATGTTGCAGGCTCCAAATTATCCTGACCCTGGACGCTGTTGGGATGTTGTTGATAAATACAAAGTGACCATATTTTATACTGCCCCCACATTGGTGCGGTCCCTCATGCGTGATAGTGATGAGGTAAGATATTTTAGCCATTCGTTCATCATATATGGATGTGATTATTTTAATGTATTTGTTATTGATCCGGATGATTATGATTTTATAAGTTGGTGATGGCTGTTCCCAGCTATGTATGTAGTCCAAAAAAATTCATTTCTCTATTTTCTTTTTTCCTCATCCTCTTGTCATTTGTCCCTGTTTAAATTTTGTTCTTTTGTTCTGTCAAAGATGCTCCTGTTACACATATCTGGTTTTCATGGGTGTCCCGCCTTTTGATGTATCTTATTAAGTTACTGATCAAGAAATCAGTCCTCTTTATAATCTCCATCATTTACTATCTGCATTGCAAGACTTTCCATTCTACATAGTGTTCTGTTTCTGCATCCATGGTGGTATTGTTGTCTGGATGAGGCTAAGATTCAAGTACCCCTTACATAATGCCTTAAATATTTATGGATGTGTGTGTTCATTGAATTTTATTTATTTATGTATTATGCAGTATGTTACACGATACTCGCGAAAATCCTTACGGGTCCTTGGAAGTGTAGGCGAGCCTATTAATCCAAGTGCATGGAGGTTGTCATCTCTTTTGTTGTCTGATTCAAAAGCTTCACTTCACACCCAAAAAGAGTTATTAACCCAATGCTGTTTGGTACAGGTGGTTTTTCAATGTGGTTGGAGATTCAAAATGTCCTATTTCTGACACTTGGTGGCAAACTGAAACTGGTGGCTTCATGGTATTGTAGTACTGTTCTTATATAGTTTTTAACCCGTGCGCCATTGACTGGTGTTAAGCAGAAATGTTATTGGCACAGGAAAATTCCTCAAGATTTTACTTTCGTTAAACACTCCCCTCACCACACTTATGTGCCAATATGCATGTGCATTCACCTTTCCATCAGTGAGATGTTTTAACTTGAAATGCTTGACCTTCTTTACCTGACAGATAACGCCATTACCGGGTGCCTGGCCACAGAAGCCTGGTTCTGCTACTTTCCCTTTCTTTGGGGTTCAGGTATTTTATTCTAATCTAGTTTATGGATCTCATTAAGTGTCCTCTTTTTGTACTTTTGAATCTGTAAGATCTATATCTTGGTAATTATTTTGCTTGTAACTGCAGGCTGTCATAGTTGATGAAAAGGGTGTTGAGATTGAAGGGGAATGCAGTGGTTATCTGTGTGTAAAAAGCTCATGGCCTGGAGCCTTCCGAACTCTGTACAGTGATCATGAAAGATACGAAACCACTTACTTTAAACCTTTCCCTGGGTATTATTTTAGTGGTGATGGATGCAGCAGGTAAATAATAACATCAAATTGCAGTTACATCAGCGTGAATGCTAACAAGTGTTATGCACGGAGGTTTTTGCTTCCAGGACAAGATTTGATTCCTTTTTTTAGTTTAGAGTTTATAATTTATTCATCAGCACTTATTCTAATGTATTATAAAACTAAGCGTTACACATCAATGTCTCAGGGACAAGGATGGATATCACTGGCTTACTGGAAGGGTTGATGATGTTATCAACGTTAGGTATTTTGGGATTCCATAAACTATGTGCATATAATTTTTCAATCTTAATTTTTGTATGAGTAAGCTAAATGTAGTGATAGGATAATTAACGTGTGGATTTCTTAGGATGTAATGTGGACAACTCTGTGATTGTTGTTTAGTCCCTTTGTTCAATGATAAAATCATAATATGTGCAGTGGACATCGTATCGGTACAGCAGAAGTGGAATCTGCTCTGGTCTCACATCCCCAGTGTGCTGAAGCTGCTGTGGTTGGCGTTGAGCATGAGGTATGTGAATGTGACACACATTTACTGAGTTTATAGATTAGTATTGCCACTTTACACCCTGAAACTCGACTTTTGCTCTACTTTGGTGGTATTCCATCTATTCTGTCAAATAAGTGTTAAAGTTTGCTGACGTGTAAGGGCAATACAGTAATTTTGTCCTAGTTGGCACTGTTGGACCACAAAGCTGTCAAAACAGCTGATTAAAAGTTACCATGTAGTTTCATTTTCCACGTCCTTATCACCACCGTCTCTCACCTCGACTGATCCTTCCCTCTTTCTGGTTCTCTCACTTTAAGTCACCGTTTTATAGTTTGGCGATGAAATTCCAGCTGGGAATTGGGTTGGGTTGTCTGGAGGTTGGGTAGGAGAGTGGTTGTACAAGATTAGCAAGAAAATTTTCCATAAAAGCATGACTGAAGGAGAGCAGCAACGTATGATGAAGAACGGCACAACCAGAACATTATGTTATTGAACTCAAATTGGGTTGGGCTTCAATCCCATACAAATACAACACAATCAATTAGGAGTTGAACTGCACAATTGAATTGATTGAATTTATCATGATTACTTTGGATTTGAGCTACGATAAATGAGGAAATTAATTAAATAATTAGAAATTAAACGAGGATTTGGAATGGTTAAAGGCTTGGGTAATTTGCAGCTGCCCTGAGCTTGGAGATCAGCGTGTATCTTTGCTGCTATGGCCCTCCCTCCTCCTCTTCTCTCTCCCCTCCGTTTATTTTCTCTTCCTCTATGACAGATTCCTTCGCTGCTATGGTTTCTCAAGTGCGTTGCAGGGCGGGACTTTACACCTTGGTGTGGCTGCCACATAAGCAATTTATTGGGTCCCACCATGCCACATCAACAAAGTTAACACCTATTTGACAGAATAGACTGAATACTGCTAAAGTGGAGCAAAAAAAAGTCGAGTTTCAAGGTGACAAGTGGAGATATTTTTTGATGGGGGAAGGGAGATTGAGTTTGAGTTCCATGGGGTATAACAAAAAATAAGCCAATAAAATATCATATCCCATTTGAGAAGAATAAACTGAGCCCGTTAGAGAAGAATAAACTCCTGTCTTTCTATAATCTGCATTGAAAATCTGATAATTTGTCTCCATATACCTTTGCATTGTTTTATCAATTGTGCATGACATATTTAAGAGAGAGCGGGAGAGCGGGAGGGAGGGGCAGATGCTTCTGGCTAGTATGTCTGAACAAAATTACTTTCTTTCTATAGGTTAAAGGACAAGGTATATACGCCTTTGTTACTCTTGTGGAAGGTGTACCTTACAGTGAGGAACTCCGGAAAAGCCTTATACTGGCTGTGAGAAAGCAGGTATATATCTAGTCCTGTTCTGTTCAGGTATATATGCTTTGTTTTTCTATTGCATCTTGTAATTGCAGTGCAAGTGCAACGGCACTCTAGTCCTGTGCTGTTCACAATCCAGGAGTCATATTTCAGATCTGATGGTTTCCGGTTACAATTATTAAATTTGGAATGTAAACATTTTTCAGATAGGACCATTTGCAGCACCGGACAAAATCCACTGGGCCCCTGGCCTTCCAAAAACAAGGAGTGGGAAGATCATGAGGAGGATTCTGAGGAAGATTGCTTCGAGACAGTTAGATGAGCTTGGAGACACCAGCACCCTTGCGGAACCAAATGTGGTCGATCAACTAATTGCTCTCGCAGACGTCTAGCAAGTGCGGAGGTTATATTATTGGCCGCTGCATTTCCCAAAAGTTATCAATTGCACAAGATTAAACCTTAAAATACTTCAAGACTTTTGTTGCATGTGTCATTTTGCTTCCTTTTTATCCAAATGATTCAGATTCACCGCAACTACTTACACAACTGAACACATTATGGATCTATTTTGTAACCTATTCGGTTTGGTTTTGAGCTTTCATCTTTTGTCCCAGATACATATGACAGTATATGGAGGAAAGGAGGGATAAAGGTGCCGCTGGATGGAGAATGTTATATTGAATGGCAATGACTGACAGGAACTATTTGAATAATTGATTACACATGTGACGCTTGGCAATTTTCTAAGATGGTGGCGACAGTCACCACCTAGTTAAGGTGGTGAGCAAATTCGGATTCTATTGTGTGTAAAGTGTAGTATAATTTTTAGCGTGAATTCTAAATAATGGCCAAGTGGACAAAAACAAAGAAAAATCATTACTCACCTTATAAGAGATTTTCGCATACCACTAATTTACTATATCTTAATCGTCTGTTAGATACATACTGCACTTTTCAAATGTGTTGCAATAATTTATTTGACGGTGACACCATTGCATGAGAGAGTCTCTCCTCACATTGTTTGTTTCATTAGCTTTACCTAAATGGTCTATTTGTTTAAACTCCTAACATCCAAAGGTCAAACTGCTGTGAGAACTTATATTTCATTCCCGAATGGGTCACTTTCCATGAACGATGCTTTTGTCGAGATGAAGAAGGCCCGAGGGAAGAGAAAAGGGGGAGAAGAGAGGGTGGAGTTTGTCGCAAAAAGGGGGGGATGGGGGGTGGAGTGGGGCATTAATCCATTTTATTTCGGTTAAATACGTAGTCAACAAAGAATTCTATTAAGTACCACGTGTCGATTTGTTATTGGAGAATTCAACCCAATTCGATCATGTGGCAAATTTAGTGGGCCAAAAGTATGCTAGGTCATTAATCAACAGTGTATTTGATGGAAATGTTAATGAAAGTATAAAAGTGTCACAAAAATTGAAGTTTATGTATGAAACTGAGACGGAAAAAAATTGATTTATGAAAATTTGATAATCACGATATTTGTGGATAGCAAAGTAAAGAATTACTCATAATATTATTATAATTTAACTCACCCCTTTCACTCTATATCACTCTACTAAATTTTGAATAATATATATATATATATATCATATCATATCATACTCATTCGTGGAGGGTTGAGTACACTGATTTGGTATTTATTGCCCCGAAAAAAAGAAAAGAAAAAACTGATTTGGTATTTTGGATTTGGTGTATGGGCCGGGGCCGGGGCCCAATTCTGTTGCCTGTCACGGAAGCAGAGAAGCCACAGCGCAAAGTGAGGGCAAATGGGTTGTTAGCAGCCGTCAGATGGAAGCGGAATGGTTGGAAGAAATCTGAAGCGGGGTAAATGACCGAATGAGTTACAGGCGTCGTTCGCTGGTGATGCGATTTCGATGATTCAGTGCCATACGTTCGTATCTTAGAGTTGTTATTATTATTATTATTGGAGGATTAGTGAGTAATTAGGTTAGGATTAAAAGAGGAGGGAAAATGGAATTGCAAATGAAGGTGGCGCAGGCGGTTCACGTACTAAATCACGATACAGAGTCGTGCAACCGCGTGGCGGCAAATCAATGGCTGGTTCAATTTCAGCAGACCGACGCCGCTTGGGAGGTCGCCACCTCAATCCTCACCACCGATTTTCACCACTCCGTCGTCTCCGATTACGAGGTCGAGTTCTTCGCTGCCCAGATTCTCAAACGGAAGGTAGCTATCATACAAATACAATCATGATTCTTATTTACTTGTTTTGCTTGACAACAGTTTATCATTTCATTTGCTTACTGATTGACTGGTGATTGGTGCATTGGGCTGTTGTAAATACTGGACCGACTAATCAACTTTTTGTGTGTTTAGTTCATGGTCAAATCAACTGTTAAACGTTAAATTTGTTTATTTTCATCTTGTATATTTTTCTGTAGAGGCAATCAGGAAATAGCATATTTCTGGAATTAATGGAAATACATTGTTATGTGATCTGAGGCACAACGTGTGAAACTTGTAATGGAAAATGATGACTGCCTCCTTACTTGGAAAATCGTTTCAATGATGATCAATTAGAATGTAACATTGTACTGCTTGCTAACGTTGGCATATCAGTTGTATTGTATGGATATACAAAGTGTTCCTAGTGAAGTTTCTATGAGAAGAACACTGTTTGCTAGTTAGATGTCAGTATGTGTAGGCTCTGTCTACCCGCTGAAGCCACTCTTTCTTTACCAGGGCTTTTGATAGCTGCGTGAAACCTAGATGTTTGTGTGTAAATCATATATTTGTTTGGTTTCTTGCATGCCTAGTTTTCTAAAGATATAATATATTGCTTATTGTCATTTTACATTCCAGATCCAAAACGAGGGCTGTTACCTGCAATCTAGAGCCAAAGATGCTTTGCTAAATGCCCTTCTTGTTGCTGCTAAAAGATTTAGTTCTGGCCCTCATCAGGTTCTTTTACTACCCATCTCTAGAAAACCTTCTGAATTTTTAGTTGGTTGCTATATGAAGGCTATAACGTTTGACCATTTTGATAAAGTTATGTCTTTTACTGCTTTATCACCTTAAATTGTTGCTTGGGCAGGCTATGTTTTTCATGGCTGGAACAAAAGATATTATCTTATATTGCCCCTTTATCTTATTACTACATTTAATGAAGGTCCTTGTTTGTTTGTATCAGCTTTTGACACAAATTTGCCTTGCACTGTCTGCACTTATACTGCGAGCTGTTGAGCATGGAAAACCTGTTGAGCAACTATTTTATAGTCTTCAGAATCTACAGACTCAGGTTGATGGAAATGTTGCTGTTCTGGAGATGCTTACTGTTTTACCTGAGGAAGTTTTAGACAACCAAAATGCTGACTCTAAAATAAGTTCAGCTGACAGAAGCCAGTATGGCCAAGAGGTTTATGAAATTTCTTTCCATTTCAATGCTCCTATATTTCTCCATTCACACGCATCTTCTCCTCTTTTATTCGCTCTCTTCGTATTTATCTTTCTGTTGTATCACTTCTCTCCCATGCAGCTTCTTTCACATACACCTATGGTTCTTGAGTTCCTACTGCAGCAATCTGAGAAAGGGTTTGATAGTGGTGTACAACTACATGAACGGAACAGAAAGATTTTGCGTTGCTTATTAAGTTGGGTATGATAATCATTCAATTGTTCTAATGTCCAATGCAATAAAAAAGTATATGCATGTTTTGCTGCCATCAAATAACCAAATGTTGATGTCCAAATTGTGTTTCTGGTTCAAGCTCTGAATACAGTTGTGGTACTCTCACCTTATACCGTGACGTAAATTTCTTTGCAGAAGTTTGCACTTTTATTTATTAAAAGGTAGGTATTTCTGGTTTTCTTTTTACAGTAGAATTGTTATTATGTTCAGGTTCGAGCTGGATGTTTTTCGGAGATTCCCCATGGGTTACTACCAGCACATCCGCTTCTCAACTTTGTTTTTAATTCTTTGCAGGTAATTTGTATAACTCTATTTACCCAAATTTAATATTTAAAATATGTTTAAGTTGCATAATTGATCTTTTTCTGCATTGTTGGCATAGATGTCATCTTCATTTGATTTGGCAATTGAAGTTCTTGTTGAGCTCGTGAGTCGACATGAGGTATGCTATTACTTTAATTAATCATTCTTGCAAATATTATGTTTGCTTAATATCTGGACGATGTGATGCCATCAATTGTTTGATCCTATTTGCATGTGTTTCTGTTCATATGCCCTGTGTTGTACTTTTATGCGCAAACGGAAGCGAATTCTAATAAAGTACCAAATATCAACGGCGTAGGTGAAAGCGAAAAGCAAACAATCTCAAAATAAGTACACAAGAGATTGAACGTGGTTCAGCGTAAAGCCTACGTCCACTGCAAAGCATGGTGATGGATTTCACTAAACAAACAGAGATTACAAAAGAGTATTTAAACTCTCACAACCTAGATCCCACAAATAACAAACCCTAAACCAGACGAGTGGAGAACCCATAACAAACGGAGTAGTCCCTCCCAAATTGTTCTCTCACAAATTGACTCTCACCAAATTTCCAAACGAATGACTCATGAATTTGCCACACGCTCATGTCTCCAAACGGTGACCTCCACCCAAAACCCAATTAGAGAAAACTCTCTACTCTAATGGTGAGGCACACAAATAAACTAACCCTAAGGTCCTATTTATAGTGCATAGGACTTAGGTTACAATGAGAATCTTAATCCTAATTGGAAGTAAATACAAATACAAATCCTAATCAAATAGGTAATTAGCAAAATCTCTCCACCAATCAAGGAATCCAACCAAGAAGTCAAATCCAAACCCAAATAGGACACCAAACAAAATAGGTAACACAAACCTAATTTCTGCATCATCCTAATTTTGAGCGCAAAACCCAACAATTTGCACTCTCTGCATTTATACTGCAAGCTGTTGAATAAATAATCCTATTAACAGATTCTTTCTTCTGTAGGGGCTGCCCCATGTTTTGTTATGCAGGGTGCATTTTCTTAAAGAAGTATTACTTCTACCAGCTCTTAGTAATGGTGATGAGAAAGTAGTAGGTGGTCTTGCTTGCTTATTGTCAGAGATTGGCCAGGCTGTAAGTATTGATATAGCTCTTTGTTAATTTCCCTCCTGTAACTGCTGTGGGTGGACATCCTGTTCACTCTCTGTTCTGTTCTCAATAAAATTGTTTCTTTTCAAAAATAAGAAAATCATACTCCAAGTTATCTTTCTCATTAACTTTTAAATTTGTTTTGTATTCCAGGCACCATCTCTTATTGTGGAAGCAAGTGCTGAGGCAGTTGCACTGGCTGATGCACTTTTGAGGTTATTTACTTAATTAACTTTTTTTCATGTTTCATTAGGCAAGGCAATATATCAGTAAAACACAAGAATTAGTTGAAAGATATTGTTTTTGTTCTATTTTCTTTCTTGTTGTAAGGTCACCCATCTTTTATAGCGCTAAGGATGATAAAAAGGTCCAGACGTGCTTGCAACAATGTGATTGAGCCCGGGTGTTATTGGTTGTTAGTAACTAAGTTAGTAGAAACTTAGAGTGGTTAAATGTTCAAACATGACACCTTCCGCACTAAAATTGAATACCATCTTTTGTTAATGAGTCAACACTGAATAGCAGTGCGTTAGGATCAGGCCAGGAAAGGCCAAATTCTTATTTTTGATTCAAATGATCACCATAGATATGGGGAATTATCTCATGCATGCTAAAGAAAATTCATTACAGTTCGGTTGCCCGTAAGTCTTCTTTGATATTGCCTGGTGTCTGATTCTTTTTCATGTGTCAAATTTTGTATCTTACCCTTTAAAAATGCTGGCAGCTGCGTGACGTTTCCAAGTGAAGACTGGGAGATAGCAGACTCAACCTTGCAATTTTGGTACTTAAATTTATTTATCAATTTGAAGGTGAATTGTTGTTTGTCTGTATTTAACTTAGTCTGAAGGAATGGTTGCAATTATGAACGATCTGTTTCCAATTCTGGGATCAAAGAAAACCTAAAGATGATTGAAGAATTCTGGAGGACCATGTTTACTGGTCCTTTGTGATTCTATGAATTTCTCCTTATTTAGGTTAGACTCCATTCACAACCTGTTCTAGGTAAGTATTGTATCCACCAACAAAAAACGTTAATGTTTATCTTTTATTAGAGATAAGAGATAGATCGTTTTTAACTTGTGAGACGAGACTAGGTGGTATAATGCACGGACAGTGGAAAATGAGTTGCTAAATTTTACTTGCTATGATCTTCCTGTTATGGTGAGAAATGTTAGCATCTGCTGATTTTCAGGCTTTTGGCATTCTCTATTAAATTTCAATGATAATCATTGCGACATTTTCATATTCTTAGGTCTGGTTTTGCAAGCTATATTCTTGGCCTTGATGAGGATGGTGCAAAACAGAGGAAGCAAGTGGAAGAAATGTTTTTCCCTGTATTTTCAGCATTACTTGATGCGCTGTTGTTGCGTGCTCAGGTCTCTATTTTGCTTGTCTGCCTTTTTATATACGGATTGTGGCATGATGCCTTTCTAAGCTGAGTAAATCATGTTGCTTTTTATCAGTATGTTGTGTGAAGGTTAAATTTTTAGACTGCACAATATTACCACCCTCTGTGTCTGATCCAGTACTAGCTTCAAGCACTTAAGAACGCACTACTGATGCTAAAGCCTTTTGTTCAAATCCACATCAAGCATGTCCATGTTTTGTTCGAGAGGAGGGAATAGGCAATGCCAACATTTGGCGCTTATGTTTTATTGGTCATTCCAAGCTGATGGAGGCTATTGATCTTCTATACTGTGCTTGCAGTTACTAACTGGTCGTCCCTAAAGATGATTAAGAGTTTTAGAATGACCATTATCAGACGTAATAAGTAGGGGATAGGTTGCTATGGGCTTGCTACTTCTCATTGGCTATTATCATGTCTAAACCCCTAAAGGTAGATTTAGTTATTTTATTTTTAGTGAGGTATTAGTTAGAGCCTAGAGGGAAGGTGTATGCTTTTTAGGTTTTAACTGTTAAAGCCTAGTTGGAACAGAGCTAGTAAGGTTACCATGAAGAAAGAGATTATACAAACTAGACAATGATCTTCATTGCTCACACATATGTACATATGATATATTTATATGCTGCAGATGCTGTTATTGATGACATGATGAAATAGGAGTTGGCTACTCTGTATTTTGATCTCTCTGGTCTATACTTTCATTTTCATTGTTTCTGGTAATTAGAATACTTTTATAACGATAGATATATAAAAAGTGAATCTTTGTCGTTGACTTGACAGGTAGATGGTTCTATGTTTGATGATGAACAAGGAACACCTGAGCTGCCTGATGGTCTTCTCCACTTTAGGATGAACCTTGTTGAGCTTTTAGTGGATATATGTCATCTTTTAAGATCTGCTACATTTATTCAGAAGGTGGTTGATTTGTATTTTGAATAAGCTTGTTTTATTATGGACTTGACTTGTGTTGCTGCGTAAATCATTGCATTTAATAGTTCTTCAGTAACTTGCACATTGGGTTGAAAATAATATTTCAGAGCACTGTTTCACCAGTCAATGTTTATTCTGATAGGTGTTAGATGCTACCTTTATTCTAGTTAATTGTTGGTATTGTCTGCGGTATGAGTACGTGTTCAACATGTTGCTAGAGCTTGCCAGCATGTTCAATCTCATAAGAAATATTTGCATGTTTTTTCTTCATTTATTTGGATAGTTCTTTACTGTTGAGTTAGTATTTCTCATTTTTTATTTTATTTTTCCCATTGTAGCTTTTCTTTGGTGGTTGGGCATCTGCAAATACACCAATACCCTGGAAGGAGGTGGAAACCAAGTTATTTGCTCTTAATGTGGCAAGTACAACATATGCTCCTACACTCAATTATTTGTTATCTAATTACCTTATGTTGTTGTCCTTAATGTTTTTGAATATCTAAGAGGAGGACTATGTTAATTTTCTTCTGTTATGTATATATATGTGCGTCTGCACGTGCAGAATCTTTCACTTCAACAAGAACTCACAAGTTTTAGAACTTTGGGACCTCCTTTCCCAGCTACTGGATTAGTTGAATTGGGAATTGGAAATACTAAAAACACTTAAGAACCCCAAATTGTATATCCCCCTTACAAGTTTTAAGGATTGAGACCAGAAGTTGCAGGGGGGAGGTCGGAAAGTAGGCAGCGATGAGTCAGGAGAGGTAGCTAGCTGAAGAGGATGAGAGGAGTGAAGAGACACGTGTAAGTGAGCGGATTGGGGAGGATAGCTTTCAGAGTTAATAGTAGTGATGAACATGAACTGCTGGTGCTGGGAGTTTGGTGGTTGGAGAGGTTGAAAATTGAGGAAATACATTATCGGGACCTCCACAATGCAGAATTTGCATGGTTCAATATGAGGGAGAGTGTCATTAAGCGAAGATTGGAAAGATTTCTATTCACTTTACATGGTCCAAGAAAGCAAAAAGGATTATGGGGGAGCTGATTTCAAGAGCTTCTGTTGAGATTTGGATCTGGGAGGTGTTTTGAGTTGTGACTGACGTAGAAGAGGAAGAATTAAACTCAGACAAAAAAGAAAATGGAGTTGAGCCAATCCGAGAGACTAAATTGAAGAAGAGATAGCACTCTCTGAAATTGATGGGTCGGCACCAGTTGTTTGTTTTCAAGTCAAGCCCTGTATCCCAATCCATAGGAATTGGATGGATGACTCACTCTCTCTTGAATGAGATGTCAAACAGGTTGTTGGAGCTCCTCTCTTTTGGATGACTGATCAATTTGAGGAGAAGGTTAATGAATTTGAAGCTCTGTTTCCCAATTCTGTTACTCTTGTTCACCCAAGGATGGTGGATAGAGTGGAGATGCTCCATGGAAAGAGGTGGAAAGCTGTGGGTATTTGGAGTCAGTAGCTGAGGAAGATGATTTTTGCTCAAAAGAGGATGATGCTTGTTTTTGAATTGTTAGATTGACTGAGAGGAACTTTGAATAGTTATTTAAAGAAAACGAGATGCAAGACAATGAAAATAGGTATGAAGCAACAACAGCATTCCAATGTGAAGGAAAACAGAAAATGAGGTCTTCCAAAATTCTGGAGACACTGATGCCGAAAAATGAATCCATTTCCACAAACAATTCACTTCATCACTTCATCACTCCTCAATATCTGTCTATTGTTATCTATCCAAACAACCTTAATTGTAGCCATGTCTATTATTCCTTCCTCCAAAATAGTTTCTTTGCGCAGAGTAGTGCTACATATGTAGCTAGAATCACCCAGCTCAAATTAGCCTCCCCTAAGTAACCTTAACTACAGAGTCAATGCTAATGGACAATATAAATTTTTGGTGATACATATGTAGCTAAAATCACCCAGCTCAATTTAGCCTCCCCTAAGTAACCTTAACCACAGAGTCAATGCTAATGGACAATATACATTTTTGGTGACCCACGCGCTCAGAATATTACTTACACATCTGACACTAATGTGCAAAAAAGATGCTACGGGTTGGAGGAAGCCCAATGAGATTGTGAGATTTGGATGTATTGAGGATTCTCTATTGAGAACCCTTCGATATGATTGAGAGTCTGGGAGACTACAAAGAATAATTTCAAGAGGCTCCTCTTTTGTAATTCTCTTCTTCTTTTGACAGATGATTGTTGTCATCACACGTGAATTTAACCCAGTTTAGGCTGAATCCCATTAATCCTTGGCTGTTGTTTGTTGATTTTGTCATTTTTGTCTAACTTGAATTTATTTTGGTGTGATATGGGGCTAAGGATTCACTCTGTTGTAACTGAAAGAAAGGAGTCCACAAGTTGTTAAAATTGCAGGCATATATTTAAAAGAAAGATCTTGTGTGTGCTTGTATATAATTGGTTCTCCTGATTGTGCTCTTTCCGACTGCTCTTAGGACTTTCAGCAGCCATTCAGAAAGTTATTGTATTTGAGGTTATTCTGCTTTGTAAATGTATTTTTAAATATCAAGGTTCCATATTCCAGGTTGCCGAGGTAGTCCTACAGGAGGTCCAAAACTTTGATTTTTCGGTCATCATGCAGTTGGTCACAGTGTTGGCCACTAGGCCTTTAGATGAGCTGAAGGGCATCATGTGCATTGTATGTCAAAGATTCCCCCTTCCCCTCATTTGCAGGGAAAATTTGGTTTCAGCAGTTTAGTTCACAGAAGATTGCTAGCGTATATTGATTTGTATACCTGATGGATTTTTTCTTTATTTAGGTGTATAGATCTCTTGCAGATGTTGTTGGTTCCTATTCCAAGTGGATATCTGCTTTTCAAACAAATGCTAGACCCTTACTGTAAGCACTTTCTTCTTCCAATGGATGCACTTACAGTCAGTGCTTTTCATCTTCTTTACTGTCTTTTGGTAAACCATTGTGTAAAAGAATATAACATGTGCCTAATTTGTTAAAATATATTAGCACTCACAATTTTCTTTTCTCTGCTGATTGGTACTATAGATTATTCCTAGCAGCTGGAATATCAGAACCCCTGTCCTCGAGTTCATGTGCTTCTGCTTTGCGCAAAGTTTGTGAAGATGCTTCTGCAGTGATGTATGAACCTTTGAATTTGGAGATTCTGATGTGGATAGGAGAGGTGAAGTATTATCTGACTATAATCCATCTAACATGGATGTGTGCTTGACATTTGATCTGTGTGCTTGCTTCTTGATTAACGTGAATTCGTGGCTTATGCATTTTAGCATGTCAATCTCTGTTACTATTGAGAGCATATCTAATGAAGGATTCTTTCACCCAATGATACCGCTGAGACTTTCTTGTTTCTTATTTTTAAAATAATAATTTAGCCCTTATTCTTGCAAATTTTGCTAACTAATGTATAGTTGTTTTTATTATTTACATGCATTCTCTCACAGTCTTTGCCTTATAAATAGTGTTCTTGTCTTTGAAGGGTTTGGAGAAGAGATATTTACCTTTGGAAGATGAGGAAGAAGTTATCAGTGCTGTTAGTCTGATCCTTGGTTCTATTACTAATAAAGAATTAAAGAGCAGCTTGTTGGCTAGATTGCTTTCATCTAGCTTTGAAGCCATTGGGAAACTTGTAAGTTTGTCTTTTGTTTCTTATGTTAATTTGTTACATTGAAATCATATGGTTGCCAGAGGCCTTGTACCATGGTTCATTGCAGGATGTTTTTGGTACTACTACTGATCAATAAACATCTGTGGATTCTGACATGCAATAGTGTCTCAATGCTCTTTTAGGTAGATGCAGATAATAGCCACCGTCTTAGACTGAATCCTGCTACGTATACACAAATTTTGAACTCTGGTGCGAGAGGGCTTTACAGGTTTGCTCGAAGATTACTTGTTTAGAGCCTGTGAAATGTTGCTTCTGTTATGAAGGGAATATTGTGGTTATTCGTAGTCATTAAAAATTTAAATAGATTTTGGGTCACGGGCTTGTAGAATTGTAGAATTCACATGATACTTGAAATTTGGAAAATGTTTTGCATATGCTTGATAGGTATTGGGGATTGATTCTTTTTTATTTATTTATTTTTTTTGGCGGGGCTTACTCACACTCTTTATGTTTGGGGTGATTTTCAAAATGGGCCGTGAAGTTTCAATTTTCCCATTTGGCACCATAAATTGTATTAATTTATATCTTTGGTCGGATCGACTGTTTGGTCCATTAAATTGATGACATGGTGAGCTTGAGACCTTGTATGGGCTAACATACATGTAAGTAATGTTTGAACCACATTGACAAAAAAAAAAAAAAAAACTCATCAATTTAATGGAGGATTAGATGTTTAAAGAAACAGAAGGTGTAAATTTATACAAGTTCAAAACTTAATGGTGGAATGTGAGAAAAGTAGAACCTCATGACCCATTTTGAAAATCACCTAAAGCCATCTCCAAACATGAAGGAGTAATGAAAGCCCTAGGCACAATTTTAGCCCTCAAAAATGTAATTTTTCAAGGAATAGTAGCGGGCTAATTTTTCCCATTTCCAACCAAGGAGGGGCTAAAGATTAGACCCTCTATATTTTGGTTACTTTTTAGTATGCCCAAGTACCTCTTTACCATGCCATCAAGTGGTGAGCTCCCTGAGAAAGAAATGCCTATGTGCCCGGGCTGGCACTTTTTAGCCCTTATGGGGGCTGATTTGAGCCCCTAGACTACGCCCATTTGCGAAATGCCCTTTGGTTGGAGAATGTTTTGTTCAATTTTGGTGCTAATATTGGCCAAATGCTCTTGGTCATTTTTTTTTCATGCTGGTTGCTTGATATATTTTTCTTTAGAGGTTACATGGACATCTTTTCCAAATCTATGTAACACATTATTTTCACTTCTAGCTCTGTGTGATATCTGTTTGGCAACTGTACCTAGTCAATGTCATTGAATTTAATTGGTGTGTGCTTGAGCTCATTAGTCATTTCCACAGTCATAAAGTTGTGGAATAAGAATAGATTTTATAGGTTTCATGTCAAAAGCTGGTGGTTTTTTGCTTCTTGGATTTTATGGTGCTCTAGGAATCTGTATTTTCCCAGAACTATGTATTATGCTGTTATACATAAATTTTTGAAACTAATTTTAATTTCAGGGTGGGAACTGTATTCAGTCATCTAGCAACATCTGTCCAGAGTGGGCATTCTGCAGATGATTGTATGCTGGCACTGTTGCAAGTTTTTTGGCCTATTCTTGAAAAACTTTTCAGCTCTGAGCACATGGAGAATGGTAATTTATCTGCAGCAGCTTGCCGTGCTCTTACACAAGCAATTCAGTCATCAGGTATATCTCACATTGGAACATCTGTGCAAGTGTATATATTTGTTTGTGGACACAATAACTGAATTTTTTATTGCGCAGGTCAACATTTCTTAAGATTACTGCCCAAAGTACTAGATTGCTTATCAACAAATTATGTCACATTCCAAAGTCATGAATGCTACATAAGAACTGGTAGGATCCTTGATATCATTATGTGGGAAACTTCTTGTGTTTCACTGTTATCCTACTTAGTTTTTAGATGAACCATTTTCTGCAAGAATCAGATCATAGGGCGATTTAACGTGAGGTGGCTTACATTTTTGAGATAGTGATTGAGGAGGGAGTGAGACAGGATGATTAAATGATTTTTCTACTAGAATATGATAGCGAGACGATCTACTGCAATTATTTTGTAAACTTTTATGTATGATGCTGGCTTAAATGTCCCATTTACTTGCTTGAAAGTTCTAAGATGTTACAGCTAACTCCCAAAGGTTAACATCATGTGGCGGATCACATTTTCATTATACAACACTAGGAAAGTGAATATAATTACTATTTAAGGAACCATTTTACAACGTAGGGGGTACAAACTTTGGTTAAGGCTTTTACCTTTCAGACATTATTTTGTTTGTCCTAGCCTTAATTTGGTTTCATCAAGACAGTAAAAGGCCCACATAGTTCCAACTTTTAGGATTTTTATTGTGTTATCTATGGTTGGGAGTTAGTGGGAACAGGAGGTTCAACTTTTAGGATTTATTTGAACTTTTTCAGTATGTTCTTTTGGGTTTCTTGTAGTTACTTATTTCCTCTTTCTTCATATTGGAACAATACCATTTCAGCATCTGTTGTCATTGAAGAATTTGGCCATAAAGAGGAGTATGGGCCCTTGTTTGTCACCACTTTGGAGAGATTTACATACGCGGCATCGGTAATGGCTCTTAATTCTTCATACATATGTGACCAAGAGCCTGATCTAGTGGAGGCGTACACAAATTTTGCATCCACATATGTGCGCGGAACTCGTAAGGTTTTGTACACTTATCACTATAGAATTTCTTCCACCGTTTTTATAATTGAAATGATTAAATCAGGGCTTAATTATCTGATAAACTTAAATGATGATTCTAGTTTGGTGACATCTCAGGAAGTAGTGGCTGCATCTGGTACCCTTCTTGAAATTTCCTTTCAAAAGGCAGCTATATGCTGCACAGCCATGCATCGTGGTGCAGCACTTGCGTCCATGTCATACTTATCTTGTAAGCTGATATTGCCTTTTCTTTCTACTTACCAGAAAGAGAGATAATTTCTTGATTTTGCTGTAGTTTTTTCTATTGATTTTTTATTAGGACCAATATGCGGTTAAGGTTGATACAGAAGTTTTATTTGCAAGTAATAATCACTAATAGGTTCATATTTTGTGAAAAACTGGTTATATATGACCTTTTTCTCATTTTTGGTTTTGTACTAAGCTAACCCAGTCTTTCTTATCACTATGCTTGGTAAGAACTATGAAAGAAACAAGGAAGGTAGAAGAGGCCTTGTAGAAGTAGGGAGGATAAGGGCAGGGATGGAGAGATTTCTCATTTCTTGATGAAGGAGAGCATAAATCATGTTCTTACCATACCCTTAAATGAATGACATAAGATTCCATCTGCCAACCTCTCCAATTTGGGGGATTGGGTTTCTGAGGGCCCTAGAGGTGGTCTCTTCATTTTTCATCTTTCAACACTCCGACCAGTTGTTTTTTCCTCTTTTAGTTTTTCTCCTCTACCTAATATGGTGTTGAGTCTCATGCTACCTATGAGTACGACGCATACCAACTCTAACTCCATTAACAGCAGAGCCAAGGCCAACAAGAAAAATTTACGAGTTGTTGCTTCATTTGTCTTTCTACTACATTCATACTGCTAGGGCAACTTCATTATTAGCATTGGAAACCTTAGCCTTCTACATGCTTACCGTCGAAGCTCTTTTTGTTTTTATTTTTCAATAAATGTTTATATAATTTTCTTTTAATTTTATATGTTTCCAATGCTTACTCTTTTGTCACTTTACTCCAGCATCGTCGTGTTTTTGGTTGCATCTGAAGTAAGTTTTTATTTCTCATATCATTGAAGTCAGTTCCATTTCCACGTATTAAAAGCCAAAAGAGCCTTCCTCTCTACAACAAGAACAATAGTTGTGGGTACCTGACAGTATTCTCACTGAAGTCGTTTCTCTTTATGGTCCTTCACAGGAAGTGCTGTTGCTTGATCTTTTATTCCTTGAGCTGGATTTATCCTGTGTATAAGTGCTACCTGATTGAGGCTTATTATCTATCTTGTATGGACCTGCTAGGTTTCTTGGAGGTGGGCCTGGCCTCTTTGTTAGATTCTTCTATGACTTGTATCTCTGAAGGATCATTCAGTGCAATGGCCATTCAAGTCATATCCCATAGTGGCGAAGGACTTGTATCAAACCTAATTTATGCTTTACTTGGTGTTTCTGCAATGTCACGGGTAAATTTACAATATCCTCATATTTCAGTTTTTTCCTTTGCAAGTAAAAGACACATGTAAATAAAAATAAAGTGGAGGCATATATTATTTATATGATCTTTACTCTGTTCAAACAGTAAAACTGACTGAGAAACCACCTAGGATGAGCTGCACTTTGTGCTAAAACATATTGATTAGCTTTGCAGCTAAGGAATTATTTGCTACTGGTTCCTCACAGGTTCACAAATGTGCAACAATCTTGCAACAGTTGGCAGCAATATGCAGTTTAAGCGAGAGATCAACCTTGAAGGCTATTCTTTGTTGGGAATCTTTACGTGGATGGTTACACACAGCGGTCTCTCTCTCTATCTCTCTCTCTCTCTCTCTCTCTCTCTCTCGCTCTCTCTCTCTCTCTCTCAAACACACACACAGGTGTGTATGTGTATGTTAGTTTGGATGCAACTAGATCCAAGAGCTAAATGAACGGTATAGAACTACTCTAAAGGCTAATGTTCCTTAAACCTGACCATATGTGTGTACATACCATAGATTGTCTCTGTAGGATGTCATTTCTCTCAAAGGACGGACACATGAGAAAATCACACCATGCTCAATTTTATTCATCTTGGATCCCAATATTTTTTTATAGAATTGATTATTTTGGATATGGATCTCCCTTGATAGCTTAGATTTTAAAATCTAAGTGATTAACCAACCCCATAATAAAACCTAAAATCTAAGCTCTAAATCACACTATGCTCTACACTGTTGAATACGCTCAAAATTATGTTATGCGTCTGTCAAATGTTTCTGTATCTTTCTATATCAACTTGTGAATGTATCTTTACCAATGAGAAACATAGGGCACCAGATGTTAGAGCTTGCATATTTCTTCAGATTCCGCTGTTTAAATATTTCAGTTACAGCAGGTGCAGGCTCTTCCTGCTGAATACCTAAAGCAAGGGGAAGTTGAAACCTTAGTGCCAGTTTGGTCTAAGGCCCTTGCTGGTGCAGCTTCAGATTATATAGAGAGCAGGAGCTGTGATGGAGGACACAATAGTTACGGTCACATGCAAGGAAAAGGGGGGAGGGTTCTAAAGCGTTTAGTTCGTGAGTTTGCTGATAGCCACCGCAATGTTCCAAATTTGACTTGATTACTGCCGAATTTTACTTTTGCCATTTGCATCTGATTTAGCTGGCGGCTTTAAGAGCTATTGGGGCCTTGTGAATCGGAGTTGGTACCGCATTTTGCAGTTGTAAAGCGATTGCTGTTTTTTTTTTTTTGCTTTTGTCCAGGCTTGCCAAATATGGGCCTGTTATTTGAGCTATGTTCCCAATACACATATTCTTCAATCTAATTTTCTGTATAGTCTCTTGCCCAATTTTGACAGGAAGAATGCAAGTCAGGATGTGTATGCCAAATTTTTTGCAGGGAAGGTTACTCGATTCAGGAGCAGCTCGTGGGTACGAGCTTTGTAAGAAAATAAGGTGATCATGCGTTAAGCCGAATGCCTCATAGCGTGTTGTATGGCTCACAGATTGATGATTGTGACATGTAGGAATCTCTTTTCAGATTTTGGGTTAAAGTTGCGGCTTGGATATTTAAGAGATTGGGTTAGCTGTATGTATAATTGTTTTTTCCTGGTCGACAGCAGCTTGGGTAAGCTGTACACTCTAAAATGATCTTCGCTTGCATTAGTTAGTTTCATCCAGTTTGATTATCGAAAAACTGATCTTCGCCTTGCATGGCTTGGAGCACCAATCTATACTGTCATTTCCCCCAAAATGTATTATCGCACTCGCCTGCCCTCTCTACTCCTCACTTTTTCTATCTCAAAACTGTATGATCGAACTGATCAGAAAAACGAAGTCTTGATAAGCTGGAATGGGGATTTTTATTGAAGTTGTTTATTAAAACTTTCTTGAATCAGAGTATGTATTCTATTGATTGTATCATACAAGTTTTTAACTAAATTAATTGAAGTGATTACTAAACTATCTTTGTTCTAAATAATTATTTTAAGCTTAAAAATGTTGAAGTATTCATTAACTAATTTTAAATAAATAAAAATGTATTTAAGGGTTGTTATGGAGCGACAAATATTTTTACACTCCTTATAAATCTATGTTTCTTTTGTTTTTGAAAAATAGTTTTAAAAAAAATAGAAAATAAATATATATTGTAAATCAAAGCTAGAATTTTAAGAAAAATAAAATTTTGTGTGCCACCACTTTTGCCACCTCAACATTCCACTGTCATCACCCACGCTAATATGACCGCTACCACCTCGACCGTCTCACCATTGTCACCACCATCATTGAAACCACCACGTCCCACCACCATTGCCGCCTCCATGCTATCCTCGACCGCCATCAGCCTGGTCACCACTACACCATTGTTGCCGTCGTTGCCATTGCCTCACCAAAAACACCACCATTTGCACGTCCGCCACTAGCACAACATTATCACCCATTATCACTCTTGCCACCAAGGCCACCGCACCAGTTGCGCCACCACCTCCACTATCTCATTGTCTCACCAGCACGTCCACCAACACCACATTTTCCATCGCCATCACTACCACCACCACATTTGCCATCACCATCATCATCACCATCACCATCATTCTTGCCACTTCTCAACCATCCCTCACAATCATTGTAAACACAACCAAAATTTGCCACCATCATCGTTGTCACTGCTACCACCACCATTACAATGCCATCACCATTGCCCCCTAGAAAGCTATTTTTACCACCTACGTCCTATCAGGTCACTTCACCACTATTAACACCGCTACTAGTCTAATACCACCATCCCAAGGAGAAGGATTCTCTCCTCTTTTTTTTTTCCTCCCCTTCCTTCCCCTCCTATTTGAATGATCACGGTTAAGCCATGTCAACATCTTATATTAATTTTTTATAGAATAAGAAACACAAAATAGAAATTGTGAGAGAAGGGAATGGAAGGAGATGAAAAGAGAAGAGGTGAAAATCCTAGTTCCCATCCCAACCACCATTTATCGTTGCTACAACACCACTCCCGTTGCAATTACCATTTCTACAACTACAACTACAACCACCATCATAATTATGTTACAAAAAATATTACTTATCGCACACAAATTTATTATTATTTTTTGACATTTTAGCTATTGATTTTTTCTTTTTTTAGCTATTGATACTACACATTTGCGAAGTTCTTCTTCAAATTTTTTGTTTGTAAAACAATACCGGACGGATGTACTTGTGAAACTTCTCATCCAAACGCGCGGTGACCAACCATGGCCATGAAACCATACGCAGGGTCTCGAATTGCTTGAAGCAAACTGTCGCTTCCCCGAAGACTGCCAAGATCCAGAACCATGAGCAGAAGTATTCGAGAAAGAACAGACTATCCATTCTAGATCGCCACCGTCCGCAGACCACCCGTTATCTTCCGGAACGCAGATCAACGGCCACAAGCGTCTGTCGTTATCGGGCATGGACATGGAAATCCCGTTTCCCGAAGAGCTTGAATTGCTTGAAGCTAACTATCACCTTCACGATGACTGCCTAGACTTTGAACCGGCGGAACCTTACCCAGAAGAATACGGCAAAGAACAACCTACCCCTTCTAAATCGCCGCCCTCCATAGACCACCCGCCATCATACGAAGTCCGAAACAATGCCCATAAGCGTTTGCGATCATCGGACGGTCCTGATGAGTCGATTGCGGAAAACTCCGGATTGTCGGATGAGAAACGGAGCAGGGTCGATGATGTGGACCGGTCCGAGAATGATGAGGACTGGCTTTACTCGCCGCCACACGAGATAGATCCGGTGGTCGATCAACGAGTTACTGATGTTGTGGAGGAGAAAGTTGTGTCAAGGTATGCGTCGGAGATAGATGGTAGTTTCATTCCGGTGACGGCGCCGAGTGCCGGGGATAGAGTTTACGCGAAGATATGCTTGGTGGAGAAGGAGCGTCCCAAGAAATTGCATGTAAAAGGAACATCGGGAGGTAGAACCAAATTATTTTCTTGAATACTTGGATGCTTTTTTCTCCAAACATGATTATTTTCTTCAATACTTGGATGCTTTTTTCTCTAGCTGCATGTTTGGTTTCTGAGAAAACCTTGGAAAAGTAGAGAATCATTCTGTCGCATAGCAGTTAATAGTGTATATAAGTTGCAGTTCACATACATTGCTTTCTATACACATTAGCTTGACTGGGAAGTATAATTTTTGCAGGTCTTATATCAGAACCTATTAATGATCTATTGCAAAGAGTGGAGAAAGAGGCATTTAGGAAGGTATGGTATGCATTATGAAGATGAATTAGTTCATTGTGAACTTAGGACCGTTTGATAACCATTTTGTTTTATAGTTTTCAATTTTAGTGCTAGAGATAGAGGTGAGGAGGGAGAACGTCTGAAATGGAAACTTAAAAGTGCAAACAACTTATAATTGTCTTCAGTTTAGGTTTTTAGTTTTCATTTTGTGTATCACTCCGTATACCCATTTCTTCTGCATTCTTCTCAATATCCTTCCTCCGCCCTATCTCTCATTTCTCCTATGCAGTTCCCTATTATCTTTAACAAAATGGTTATCAAATGGGCCCATAAGAGTCATTGGAGTCATCCAACTTTAATCCACATCATTTTATAAGAAATCCATGTTAAGTTAGCTTCAATGTCGTAAACAGTACATAAATCCTATCATTTATTATCATATAGGGTGAACTGCCAATTTAGTCCTTGAATTATCACCTGAGTATTAGGTCCCTAAACTATTTTATTTCAAAAAAAATCCGTCATTGAATTATAAAAATCTGCCAATTACATCCTTAATATTATATTCGAAGCTACAATATTCAATTTTCCGTCAATTGAAGTCACGTTACTTGCATGTGATACACATTGGAGGGTAGATTGGTAATTTTACATAAAGAAATAGTGTATGGAGTTAACTTTAGGGGGGGAAAATTAGTCGTTAGATTCGCAACCTACATGAAATGTTAAGGGCTTATAGGCGAGAAAAGAACAGTATTACACTCTAAAGTGTGTCAAGTGACTTAAGTTGACAAAAAATTGGATAAAATACCTTTGAATATAATAGTAGGGATGAAATTAGCAATTTTTAATGAATTTAGGGACTTATTTGTGTCATTGTTTGAAAACTTTCTAAGTGAGGATTCTTTAACTTTTCTGTGTTATGCCATGAGTGTTGAAAAACGCCCACTAGACCTTGTTCTTTAATGTAACCAACGACAATAGACTAAACTAGCAAATATAGAAAAACTTAGAAACACACAAGAATTATACTGGTTCGGCAGAACTTTTGCCTACGTCCAGTTGTGATTTCTCTAGGTAGAGAAATCACCGCTCCTTTGATTAATAATAGAGATTACAGAACTTTTGCAAACCCTAGAACTAATCTTTCTCTCTTGTCTTGGCTATCACAGTTTTTCTCACTTGAATTTAAGCCTTGCCGCACCCTATTTATAGGCATAGGGTGCAGTTTACATGTCCTTTACAGATTATACTTCCTATTCTAAGTGGAATAGGAAATTAGACTTCCTTTCCAATTCCAAATGGACTTCTAGGATTTCTAATCTAAATTGAATAAGGAAACTAAGATTCTTTCGTAGCCCTTTTAGGAGAAGAATCGGTGCACCCTTTTTTTTTCCCTAAAACAATCCTAAACAGAAAAGAACACTAATTGATGAGCCAAAACCTAACAATGAGACACTAGATACTCTCTTGAAATATTTGGCGAATCATAAATGGTTTACCTGATCAGTGAAATCTGTATTGATATGCTAAATATAATTAGAGTTGTTTGAAGACCTTGCGAGCTCGCTTTGAAGTTCAGAGTGAAACACCACTACTGCATGAACAACTTTGGGTGGATAAATATGCTCCAAATTCATTTATTGAGCTTCTGAGTGACGAACAAACAAATCGTGAGGTAACTATGTTTGTTTTCATGTTTTTTCATAACTTTTTAGGGGAGTTAACGCTCCAAAAGGTGCACATGTTTTTGTAGTTTTTCTTCCCTAGAAGGTCTTCTGTCAACTGTCTGTTCTTTTTTTATTTGCATTGCAGGTCCTCCTATGGTTAAAACAATGGGATCCTTGTGTTTTTGGATCTGAAATTAGGAGCACATCCAATGAGGTTTTGTCTGCGTTGAGACGACATTCTTCTATCACTCAACACCACAAACTTTCTGATTCAAAGGTTTCAAGAAATAACAGAGGATGGAATAATGAAAAAAATATGCATTTTAAGGATATGAATGATGAAAGTGCTAATTCAAAAAGCATTCCAGAGTTGTGGAATAAGTCAAGGTCTACCAGTCCCCCAGAACAAAAGGTAGAATATGAACTCTTTCTGCATTTTGCTTTTATTCTTACTGTTTTTTACATAGAACTACCTTGCATTGGCTGACCTGCATATTTGATGGTCACTGCAGATCCTTTTACTTTGTGGCCTCCAGGGCTTGGGAAGACTACACTTGCACATATAGCTGCAAAGCATTGTGGGTACCGAGTGGTGGAGGTATGTTGTTCACTTCATATCTGCGCACACATAATCGTGATTAACAAAAAGAATTCTCTTAAGAAATTTTGTCTCTGCATGAATCATTCAGTATCATTTGCTGTGTTAGCTGGAGTTACTTGTCAGGATATCATTTTGGTCCTTAAAGTTTTCCCCATTTTTCGGTCAGCTGGATCGGAAAGAAGAATTCCATTCCCAATCCAAAAAAGTTTCGGAATCAAATATTAGCTCCAATTTTGGAATTTTGGATTATTGAAATTTTCAGAATTGGTTTTATCTCGGAATTTTTGGAGCATATTTCGGATCTCCTACATTTTGCAAGACTGTGAAATGAAAGTTTTCAAACTTTTGTGTATCCACCATTCAATATTTATTGTGAAATTTTGCGATATTTGTAGCCGTTTTGGTATGTATGACATAAAATCATATTAGACAAGATAAAATAGTAAGTATGATTATACTCTTTATTTTTGATATATAATAGTATGATTAAATATACAAATATGAAATAAAGCATATTTAGATATAACAATGAACGTGATAAAATAAGCATATGCATGGTTTTTTTTAGGATAGTGCTATTCACACACTCATTTTTATTTCCCACACACCCATATTACTGTTTGGCCATTGATCTTCTTCAATTCATTCGATCCAACAACCAAAAAGTAAGAGGGTGTGTGAGAAGTACCAATGTGGGACTCTTTTACCTTCACATTCTCATAGATAGCACTACCCTTTTTTCATAGTACTAAATTTGAGAAATTTCGGATCAGATAGATATATGGGAACTTTAACGAAAAGCTCCTGGTACTGTTCACTTTAACGAAAAACCACATTTTTACACTAAAAAGTCAATCCTGGCACTATTCACTTTACCCTTTATTTTGTCCTTTTCGTTAAAACTCAAAGTTTTCAAGCCCTTTTCATTAGTTTTCCTTAGATATATTCCAGTTGCCATCCAAGTCTGTCAAAAATTTTCGGAATCAGAAATTTCAGTTTGGATTGGAATTTCCAAATTAACTTGCACAATGTGATTTGGGGAAGAGATGAGTTAAGGAGGTGGTCAGGCAGTTGACCAGTCCTCAATGGCAAAGTAATTATAACTAATGGTGGCTGTGGAAGATACGTAGGATTTAGGCCTTGATTAGTGAGGTTGCTTGATCGTCCCACATGTCAAGAGAGGAGCACCTCCCACTTTTTCCTTCTCACTAATGTTGTTTGAGCATTATGGAACAATCTTTCACAGGCCGTTCTATCATTATGTAGATCCTCTAATACCCCAATATCAATCAATCATGGATTAGAAATAGCAATCATCTGATGTACTTGAATCACTTGCATGAGGAGAACCCTAGCTTCCATATCAAATGTTCGAATAAGTCCCTTTATTTTCTCAATAAGACCAGTGCAGTACTTCAATCTGCCATATTCACAATTTTGGGTATCACAAGTTGATTTTACAATTTGTTATTTTCTATTTACAGGGATGTTGAAATCGGTTTCATAGCAGATGTAGTATGACGTTCGTGTTACCTACAGTCTACATGTATATTTAATTTAACTGACACTTGTTCAGTTAATTTATTCTAACTTAAGATAATAGACCTTCAAAATCAGTTGCATCTCTAAGCTAAATAACCTAATTGGATTCTTTGGAATTTGGATGCAAGATTACGTTTAGTGACTTATAACATTACTGTCAAATTAGCAGCTTATCTGACAGCCCTGATTATGACAAACGGGAAACAATTAAAGTACAGTTAATTTTGGGTTGAATTTCAGGGACCATGTTTAGCATTTTACAAATTTCATAAGTTGATCTATATTTTGGATATTACATCACTAAGCATATTAGAGCTTTATATTTGAGCACCAAAAATGTATAAAGGAACATTGCTTTTCACTTTTTATGGGAGCTCTTCCCGGTTTAATTTGTCATCTGTCACTTGTTTGGAAAGAAAAATAATTTTAGGTTTGTGTATAATGGAATGGTGGATTTATTACATGTTTTGTAGGTTAATGCTAGTGATGACCGATCATCGTCAACTGTTGCAGCTAAAATTCTTGATGTTGTTCAGACGGAGTCCGTCGAAGTTATTGAGAAGAAGTTCCTCAGAATGGACTCGACGCCAAAGTGTTTGGTTGGTTCTAATTTTCAAGCTTAATCTTTTTATTGTGTGTGCTCATGACAAAATCCAACTGCATTTCCTCTAGGTGATTGACGAAATAGATGGGGCTCTTGGAGATGGGAAAGGTGTCGTGGAAGTTATTCTAAAAATGGTAAATGATAAGGTTTTGAATTTTTAAATTCTGTGTTATATGAGATATACATGTGGATTTCATTGACCTGTTTTGGTGGCTTAATGGGCACCTTATTGAATGCTGCTTCTATTTTTATCATCTTGACAGCTGCGAAATTAAAGAAGTAAATATCAATGACTTATTGATCATTACGAAATAAAAACATGAAAAGAACATGTTATTAAACCTTCACATCTGAAAATAAAAAAGTGAAATCCTTTTAGTTTTATGCATTATGAATTTGCCGCCTTAGGGATGGTAGGTGTTGTATGGGGTTGGTTGGTTGGGCTGGTTGTGGCTAGGGTCAGTGGGTGGTGAGAGTAGATCGTCAAGTTGGTGGGAGGGATGAGATCCAAGGGGCGATGGTGGGTGTTGTTCGACATTGGTTAGAGATGGATGGGATCGGAATTGAGCATCTTTGTGGGTGGGTGTGATTGGGTTTGGGATGGACGAAGTTGGGTGTGGGTGCTGAAGGGGAGATGGGGTTGGGTTTAGGGTCAGGGAGGGGAGAGAGAACTAAACAGTTGGTGGAGACTTTGTCGTTTGGGGTGATGCAGTAGTTGTGTTGCTGGTCCGGTGGTTGTTTGTGGCAGCTAAGGGAGGGGATGGTTTGAGTTTTCCATTTTTAGGTTGTATTTTGTTTTTGATTTTCACTTTTCTTTATTACTCATTTTTTTTTATCAATTTTGATTTTCAAATGTTTGTCTACAAAAAGTTTTAGTGTTTCTTATTAACTGTAACATAATTTAGGATTTAATATATTATTTCGATATACGGTCTAACATTTTTAAGGAAAGGAGGGGGTAAATTGACATTTCGCCAATAAACAGTCAACTAATGATTTTTGTGAGGTCTTGTAGTGAGACCAAACCTCAGGGGGGCACGTTGTTGAATAGGGTTCCCCAAGTTAATCAATCAATTAAGGGCATTCTAAGGGATTTGAAATTTTTTAACCATAAGGGCTGTTTTGTTTTATATTTTATATAAAAACGTATTTTTCTTAACTAGAAAAAGTTATGTGGTTAGCTTAAGTAAATAAGGGGTTCAAATAATAAAGAACTAGTTGAACTAAAACGGTTATGTAAAGAGCCAATTTCAGCTCACTAGTTTGTTTTGTATAGCTGAAATTTTTTTTTTTTTATATGTTCATGCAGGTATGTGCTGATAGGAAATCTTATATGGAGAAGGAGAATATCAACAATGAACAAAAATCAGGAAGGGTTTCTTCAAAAGGAGGGAGAAAAACTGCATCGTTGTCGAGGCCTGTGAGTTTTACTGATATTTAATGAACTAAGAATTTTTGGTTTTTTGCCTCGTGGATATTATAATTAATTGATTCTTCTTCTGTAGGTTATTTGCATATGTAATGACCTATATGCACCTGCCTTGAGACCATTGCGTCAAGTTGCAAAGTAAGTCTTTCTTAGTATTGGTTACAAATCATATAAACCCAATTCAACATTTGTCTATACATCTATAATTAAAGCATAATTCTTTTCCTTCCAACTTTGATGAAGCTAACAATATCTATGAGCATACTGATGTCATTTGAGTCCTCTAAGATTTGATTTTTGTTGTTATTTGTGACTTAGATCAATTATCTTGTGACTTGAAATAAAATGTTAAGATCATGGGAAGAATCAAATGCATTCGACAACCGAGTCAGAACACATGATAGGGTAGAGTGCAGAGCCCTCGATGAGATAAAATATATGTACACCTCTATGCTTAAGCAAGCATGCCTTTTGTTTAGGCACCCTTATGTCATGGCCGAAACCAAGCCAATGCTCGTGTTGTGAACTTTTTGGTGTTACGTGCGTCACAAAGCCATGGAGGTCTAGGTATGTTCCTCATATTGAGTATTCAAACGTTGCATAGCGGTTAAACATGTCCTCAGTTAACAGTGTGCAACACTAATTTTGCCTGCTAGTCCATGAGTTGTCTTGTAGAGACATTTGACTACCGTCTTGTAATCTATGCTCGTCGTCTAGGCTCCAAGGTTAGCCACATGAAACTCACTCAATGTTCCATATGCCCATAGGTTCCCTAGTGAGCATTATGAGTCTTTTGGCTTTCGATGGAGGAAATATCACCTATGCTTGATGAGCCATTCTAGTGTTAAGAAAATCCAAGCGGACTTTACCTGAGATGGCATGTCTGGAGGTTTCTCAAGCTTGCCTGTGATGCATGCTTTGGCAAATGACGTGGCCTTAAACCCTAAACTCTAAACCTTCACTATCAAACCAGCCACCTCTAGCTTCTATACACCTTAACCCTAAATGTGGTTCCTTTCATGCTTTGGCAAATGACAGGGCCCTAAACCCTAAACTCTAAACCTTCACTATCAAACCAGCCACCTCTACCATATATACACCTTAACCATAAATATGGTTCCTTTCATAAGACATGCTTAGGTTCATGTGCATGTCAGCTATCCTGCATGTTGCTTTATGCAAACTTCTGCTGGCAACTGCTAAGAGCCGATGGGCTAGCATAAAACGGTTGGGATGCTAATATAGTTACTAAGGGGAGCTGTCAACCCTTGGAAGGGCTCAAGTATATGAAGCTTTTCAGAACTGCTTGAAGTTTGTAGTTGGGAGTGGGGTGACATCCTTTGAGAAGTTGGCAGATGCTTTTCCAAGGTTATATAGATAGTAGAGGTAGTTGGGTTGCAAGAAACTGGAAGGGCTCACGTGGTTCAATCAAGAACGAATAATTGAAGGTGGAAGCTAGACGGGTGCATCATTTTCCATCATTCTCTCAGATCTGGAAATCAGATATTTTCTCCCCAAGGGATTACACCTAGAATAAGGAAGAATATATAGTCCTAATCAAGTAATAGGACCTAAAAAAGGTTCTATATATAAATTTTTAAAAAGTTAACTGGACCTAAAGAGCGCAATGTACATAGCTGATAGCTCTAAACAATAACAACATCTTAGTATAGATTCATGTAAGTTTATGGAGTAGAATGTGCCACAAACATGCATTCCAAAGTCTTTACTAGTTGCAAATGTAGTAATCTTGGGAATTCTTTTAAACCTAGTTTTGCATTGGTTAGTACACAAAATGAAGCAGCGTGTCTCTTATCAATTTATATCATTTTATTTCTATCCATTTCAATGATAATGTGAACAAATTTTCTTTTTCTTTTTTTCAATGAAAGTTTGTTGCTTATCAGAAACTGATAATTGTAACAAATAGAGTTTTAAATAATGTCCCATTAGTTCATACCATAACATTTTATAAAAAGAAAACATTTATGTGGAGTTGTTGGAGAACTATTTGCTTGATAACACTACTTATTCTTTTACAGGGTTCATGTTTTTGTACAACCAACAGTGAGTCGAGTGGTGAGCAGGTAACGTTTTAAAAATATAAATTGATGTCTAAAGATTGTTTGCTGGATCAATTGTTGTTGAAAGATTGTTTGCTGGATCAATTGTTCTATAAGGTTTAACATAATTTGATGTGTTTTGGAATCTGAATATGCTCATGTTTTTTGCATAAGGTTATACATCATTTCTTTTATAGTTGAAACTTCTACGATAATAGTTCAGGGAGAAGAACCACTATTGCCATATCACGCAAATGCCAAAGTTTGTTTGAATCCCCCAGTCAACCAAAGTTGTGTATATTGAGGATAGAGTTTATCCTTTAGCGGGGTACCAAATTTATAACAACCGAAATTTTAACTGCCAATCAAATTTGTTGGAAAAGGGAAGTTCTTCAAATCCGAAGAATGTGAATAAATCATTTTTTGAAACATCTATATGTACGGATCATGTGGGAAGCATATGCATTTATGTAATGACAGCATAGTAAACTATCAAAAGTTAGAATGTGAACATGGTGCGTGAACGACTTCATGCAAATTGCGATTTATAAGCCCACTCAATTAATGAGTAACTTGTGCTGCTTGAGTTAATTCCAATACTGGTATATTTTGTTACTTTGGGACATATCACTTTATGTGGAAATGAATCTTGTTCTCACTTCTCGGTATTCTTTATTTGTTCAGGGAAAATTAAGTTCTTTAAATGAAATAACTAGGGGATCTAATTGTTGGAACTGTACAACCTAAATAGAAATTAGAAATTACTTATTAGCAATTTAACATACTATACATAGATATCACATCACATATGTTCATACTTCATACCCATATTTGGGATTGGTAAATTATTTGTTACTTGCAGTACATTGTCTCATTCAAAAGAAATGCCTTTTATACGTGGCTACTTTCCTATGTTAGATTGGTCCTCAAATTTTGTTGTTGCATTACAGGCTTAAATATATATGTAATAAGGAGGGAATGAAAACAAGTTCCATTGCACTTACTGCACTTGCAGAGCACACAGGTGAGTCATACATCCCTTTTATTGAGAATTACCTTATTTGAATTCATCTGGTTATTCATAATGTACAAACCATTCTTTAACGGAAAGTCTAGATGTGTTGTGTACAAGTTCGATTGTGTTTTTAAGTTTAAAATGGAATTTTGTCATTCCTTAATGTTATGACTGAAATTTGGTTTATACCAGTTCGTACTAATTTCAAACTTCCCTTCATTTATTCAATCTTTGATCTTTTCCATTCACTTCAACCTTTATGTTACAGAATGTGATATACGTTCATGCTTGAACACTCTTCAGTTTCTGAACAAGAAGAAGGAAGCACTCAATGCGGTAAGAGTTTGATATGATCCTTCTTTTGCAGAGTTTTCCCCCTTTTTTTCTTGTTATATAAGAAGCAAAAACCCAGAGGAAATACACGACAATCAGATAGTGCCGTGAGTGACCCATTCAGTCATCATAATAATCGAATGCGAACATCCAGGAGGCTCCTCTGAAATCTGCAAGGCTAATTATCTCTCTTTTGCAGACTATTCCTTAATTAAGAAAGCCTTCACAACATCAGATTAGCTTTGTCTGGGATGGTTTTGTTTAGACAAGTAAAACAGTTCCGTTTGAAGTTTCCGATATTGACCAGTTAAAAATATTTATTAAGGTTTGAGCACATTAACAACTTTTCGGAGAAATGGAGTAAAAAACATGGATCTCTTCATGAAACAAGTTTGTAATAATCATGGATGTCTCCTATGATTACTTTGAGCTTCCCTAACTACCATCTCACCATATTTTAGGGGTTCTTCTCATCCTCCCACTACCTATGTTCCTGGTGAATGGTGATAGTTATTTATGGTGGAGTTCTCAGTTTGGTTTCTGTTTGAAGAACTGAACATTATTTTCTTTAAAAGCGAGTGGTTAATACTACGTTGTACTCATACTTTTCCAGTGGGAGATTGGTTCTCAAGTGGTTGGTCGAAAGGATATGTCAAGAAGTGTGATTGATGTCTGGAAAGAGGTAAGGTGTAACGGTAAGTTAGATGATGTGTGTCTTATTCTTTATCCATAGTTTTCACAACCTTATATTTGAAGATGCGACTCTCTTTAGATCTTCCAAAAGAAAAGAACGAAGAGGGAAAGAACAACCAATGGTAGCTGTGGAGTTATGTCAAATGATTTTGACTTTTTGCATTCTCTCGTTTCTAACTGGTAGGTAGTAAATTCCAGCAAACATTATATGTTCAAGTGTTTAAAATATCTAATGTCTACCTCACCTACTCAATAAATTTGCAGCGGTGACTATGATTTGATTGCGGATGGTCTTCATGAAAACTTTTTGCATCTCCCTTATCATGATCCAGTGATACAAAAGACTGTAAGCCGCCTGGTTTGACTATATTGATTACCTGTGATGTGCTAAAACAAGACAGTTGATGTTGTACAATTTTCTCTTATCTGAAGGTCAAATGCTTAAACAGTCTTGGTGCCTCCGACCTTATGCATAAATATATTATGCGTACACAACACATGCCTCTTTACGGTAAGGATATTTGAATATCTACTTGCTGCGACTTGTTTCAATTACATTCTTCTTTGACTCTTTCCTTTTTTTTCTATTATGGAGTTTATCTGCCTGCTATTGCAATCACTATACATCGTTTGGTAGCCCAAGTGCAGAGACCAAACATTGAGTGGCCAAAATCATATCATAGGTATCCTGCAAACCTGTTAGATCTTGAAGTAAGTCGTGAAAGTTATTTTTCAATTTTTTTTACTGATTTGAATCCCATACATATTCAGATACCGCACAGTGTTGATGGAAAAGGTGGAAACTTTGAGGTCTTGGTACAACACAATTCCACCATCTATTTCAAGACATTTGTCAATTAAGTCCTTAGTAGAAGACTCAATTTCATTGCTGTTACACATCCTGTCACCCCCAACTCTACGGCCGGTAATAATGTTCATCTTAGCCACGTCTTATCTTGTTTCTTTGAGGTTCTTGGTGGCAGTTCCATATTCCATTTGTTATGTTTGTGTGTTGATCTTTATTTTCAGTTTCATATGTGAGAGACGTTACATATGCTACTAGTTCAAGTGATTATCAGACAGCCAATGCTTTTGAGATATTTTGGTTGTGTTCGTCATTTATTTTATAAGAAAAGAATGTGTGATATCATTTTATTCCAATAGAATATACTTAAGTTTTTGATTTGTTTTCTTATGTTAAATTTATGATTAAGATATGCGATCGAATTTAATGTGCATGGGTCCAATACCATGTCTTTACAAGATTTCAATGCAAATGTCGATCACATATCATAGACTCTTAGTCCTTGTAATGGAAAAATAAAGCTACAGGTAATAGTTTGATTTTTGAACCTAAATAAAATAGTTTACCGGACTAAAAAAAGGCTTTACTTAGTTTGGTGAACTTGGCACTATAAAATTACACAGTTTTTGTCCTGATCTATTGGTCATATTCTCTCCTGAATTTTTAGCCTATAACGTGTAATCCTCTGGATAACCTTTCTAGCTCTTAAGGGATTGTTTCTGGAGCTGATAAAACACTGCTGTTTACATTTTCTCAACTTGGTCCATTTCGTTTTGTTTCTTGTATATTTTTGCTTACTTTCAGACAGATATTCTGTCTACATCCTTTATGGGTTAAATTAATCTGCGCTCCAAAAGAACTGTGAAAGGAAATTTATATGAACTCACATAGACTACATTGAATACATCCTTTATGGGTTAAGCTAATCTGCGCTGCAAAAGAACTGTGAAAGGAAATTTATGTGAACTCACATAGACTACGTTTTTTAATCTCTCTCTCTCTCTCTCTCTATGAAATGCTAATTTAGTTGTCTTTGTCTTAAAGTGTAATTGTTCGTTCCCGAAAATCACAGCTGTGAGAAACAACACACATCTCTTACGAGAAAGCTACCCATTATTCTTTTGTCATAGATCTATTTGTTGCTATCTTTTGCTCTCTCTTTGCATGCGCTTACCAAGCTGTGGCTATAGTCATTTGATTGTTTATGAAATAGTATGGTATGTTCCTCAGGTGGCATTGCACTTGCTATCAGAAAAGGAGAAGAATGATTTGGCTCAGTTAGTTAGCACGATGGTCTCCTATTCTATAGCACATAGAAGCATGAAGGCCGATCTTCTGCCTAGCAATCCCAGACATGAAGCAGCTGATGCCTCATCACTCTCTTTCGATCCCCCCATTAACGACTTCATTAACTTCAAGGTTTGAGTTGTTGGTTTTGGTTGTTTTATGCAGTTTGCTTCATATTATGATTCTTCTTGTATTTCTGTTTCTTGTGATCAAGCAGGGCTATAGATCTGGTCATCATCTACTTGCATCAACCATGAAGCAGGTGTTGACGCACGAGGTGAGTGATGCAATTTGTATTAGTTTTTCCTGCTCATTAGACTATATGTAAAACTATAAATCCTTAATCGCCAGAAAGGGGTGAAACTAAGTCAGCTAGTGTCTCTTATCATGTGAATTCATTGTTTAGGTGAAGGGGGTGTTCTATAAAACCTTAGCATATTTTTCCAAAACCTCACTCTCTCTCTCTCTCTCTCTCTCTCTCTCTTCTCAGACTTCTCTTAGAAATGCCGTTCAACTAGAGCTAATGGATTATTGAATCTAAATGGAATTCATCTTTTAAGGATGCAAGTAAGGGCTAGTTTGGTATTGATGTGCTTTGAAAAAAAGTTGTTTCTGCTGTGCTGTGAGAATAAGTAGCTGTTTATTTCAGCAGAGTGTTTGGTAAACTTTTTTGTAAAAGTGCTTTTGAAAAAAAAAAAGCAGTATTATAGTGTTTGGTAAACTTTTATGTAAAACAGATGTGAAAAAAAGCTGGGTTTTGCAGCTTCTTGTTTTTGGCTTTTTTTCACCCAAAACTGTGAAAAAAAGCTGAAGCTGAATGTTTACCAAACACAAAAATAGCTCCCAGCTTTTTTTGATACTAGCTTTTTTCAGAATCACCTCAGTACCAAACCAGGCCTAAGTATAGTGAGTGTCATCTAAAGGTGTGCCTTCAGTGCATGACGTAGTTTAGAATCTTTATATTCCAAACCAGTAAGCCACTGAAGAAAATATGCACTTCCTTTTTTCACGAACTACTCGTATTTATATGTTGAAGGACAAAAATGTATGGTATTGAGATTCTAGAACATTTAGAATATTGGTCTTAAGTATTATAGGGGCGTGATCTAGTTTCCTATATTAAGTTATTTGTTTTATCAGTTTCCTTTTGTTATTAGGATTCTTGTACTCTATCTAAACACTTCTAAGGTTTATGATTATGCATCTCATATTTTCCTATTACCTAAGCAGACAATTTAAGGGAATCTGTCGTCATAAAATGCATTGTTAAGTCTAAAAGAAAAGTACTTTTGTGTGCAAATTTTTTTTCTTGAAAGTTACTACACTCATTGCAGACAATCAACCCCCTGGGCCAACCCCTTCTTTTAACATATAATCAATTTGTGTCAGGTTGAAAAGCAAAGGATCTTGCAAGCAAGCGCTGGAAGATCTGTGCATTCAACAGTTGGATGCAACAAGGAAAACCATGGTCTTTTCGTTGCAGAAACTAGTAGATTACAATTTGCTAGAGCTTATTGTGAAGGTGAATGTGCTGTAAATGCTGGAAACTCAGAAAACATATCAAATGGAAGGCAGCCAAATCCCTGTACTTCAAGTGTTTCATTGAACTTGAGCTCTAAAATTACCACAGCCAGGGAAAAATTAAATTCTCCTGGAAGTATGAGGTCTTCTAATGGTTCCTCTGGTTTTTTTGACAGGTAATAACTATTTTTTCATTTTGTACTTGACTTTGTCTCTCACTTATCTTTAGTAATCACTAAAGTTAGGTATTGAGTGAGATCTGATTGATACGGTGGTTTTATGCCCCCAAATCGAGTCCCCAAATCTGCTCTCCACAAATCGACTACCTATCACAGTTGTGATAAATTGCGTGGTAAATGTCACAACACAGATTCAGAACCAAGGGCTTGTTTATGGAACAAATTTTATTTTGGTCTTCAGTGGTGAAAAGGGATCATGGTCTCTAAGAATGCTATAATGCATGGTTGTCATGTATGCTGTCAGTGACCCTTTTTTGTTCTGATCTCTCTTTTACAATTAAAAATCAGATTTAGAAAGCTGCACAAAGGTACTCAGAAGACTGATGATGCTGTTCAGAAGGAAGCAACGGCAGAGAGAGATTCACGGCCACTAGTTTTTAAATATAACGAGGTGCGAAATCATCCATTGTTTCTTTTTCTTCATTTTTTGGATGCAAAAATTACATGTTATTCAGTTCTTAGTTCTTACATCTACATATAGAGTGGTTGATGTCTTTCACATGTGTGATGCATCAAACTGACTCTGAAAATCCCAACTGGTGGTGTAGGTACCACATGCAATCGCATGTATGTTATGGTCATCCCTCCTTTCTCCAGTCTTTTGTACGATATGAATGGAGTTTACCAACTGATCTAGCTGATACCTTCATTTATACCCTTATTACCAGCAGGATTGGCACAGTTATATATGCATGTCCTACCCCACCTAATCAATCATTAAACTAAGTCTGAATGTACTTCCAGTCTTATTTCCCAGATTTAATAAAAGATATATAACTGGTTTACCATTTTTTCTACACGACGGTATCATCCTTAATTCGCTGGGTGCTAAAGTAGTCGAATATTATTTGCCACAGCGTAGAAAATGTATACGCAGGGGGAATTCAAAACCCCATTTACTCTACCAGTGACTTTAAATTTGTGTGAGAAATATAGAACGTATTGACAATGCAATTTTTCCTTTCCTGTATGCAGGGCTTTACAAACGCAGTTAAAAGGCCAGTTCGCATTCGTGAATTGCTGCTGTGATGATCTTGACTTTTGTATGCCATATGCTGGTACAATATTTCCGCAATTTCTTGTTAATGTGTAAAAGTTTATCCTTTATAAATTTCTAAATACCTTTATATGCAACATGGTTTTAAGAGAGTCATTCTATGATAAATTTCTAAATACCTTTATATGCAACATGGTTTTAAGACCTTTATATGCAACATGGTTTTAGGAGAGTCATTCTATGATAAATTTCTAAATACCTTTATATGCAACATGGTTTTAAGAGTCATTCTATTGGTGATTCCTGAAGGTGCTATTACTTTGCTTTTTTCTCATTGTTCTTTTTTAATTTTCAGTTTCGAAGGGAAGACTTGCATGCCGTTTAGGTCTCTCTGAGAGTTACATTACATAGACATTGAGGCTCGTCTCAACTAACTGTATTCTATTGTGCCCGCTAATGAATATTACCATTTTAATGATGGTCGTGTCCTAACTTTTACAAATGTAATTCACTCTTAAGGATGGCCCTTGATGATGTGGAACTTGGAAAGCTTGTAGATGTTTACTCAGTCATGGAG